ATCACAATTAGGGTTAAGAATTAGTAGAGTCACCGAGACCTAGGTTCTTCATGATAGTCAGAACTGAAGAACACGTCTCAACTGTGATCCATTCAATGCGACGCAGCGCACTAGTATAAATCAATAGCCAAGACAAGCTATATCCAGTTTATACTACAACCTAAACCGATAGTCATGTCCATAACTATCTCAGTTGTGAATACCATTTATATCCTATAAGAAACCGACAATGTAATCTTCTGTGTGACTACTAACACACCACATTGTCTACAATATAAGATAATTGGACATTTAGCATACAAGCAATCATAAAGAATGCAACAATGTGAAAACATTTATTTCAGTTAAATGGGAAATCGAATAAATACAATCCAAAAGCTCACATAAAAGTTTGCTTTACTGTATACCCCAACAGAGCTCTAGTTTGAAGTCACAAACATTCTTCATCTCATCTCGGAACCAGCTGGCGTAATCCTCAAGCTTTGAATTATTTTCGAATGTTGCGGCCCGGGCCCCTCAAGACTTCATTTGTAGCAAGAGATGACAAGTTTCTGGTAGAAGGTGGCAATTGTCCGCTCAAACGGTTATTAGAAAAGTCTCTGCAAAGACCATAAATGCCCCTACAAGTTAGTAAATTATATGCAATTTTGCAACTAAACATGCTTCAGCATCATATTCATACAAGTTAACAAAATCTGGGAGGGACTCAAAAGCATCAGGAATATGTCCAGTTAACTCGTTGTTGCTAAGGGACCTGAAGTTTATAGTCAATTGTTGAGATAACAAACAAATAAAAACACAACAACCAAAACCTATGTACCACCCAAAGTGCTCTGTGTAAGTGAACTTACATGCCTTGTAACTGACTTAGAGACGACAGAGAAGTAGGTACACTTCCAGTCAGCTTGTTATCTTGTTAGCTATAAGAAAATTGCCAAAGGTAAAGAAAGAGCATCACATGTCCAAGTTCAGAAGGAACATTGAAAGCTAAAGTCTCATAACCTGATGATCAATGTCATAGACAGAGACATCACGTCCTCCCTCTGAGCCCTGCTTGTTCGTGTATTCAGCCTCATTCTTCCGTGAAGATAGCAATTTTTCTTCTGCAACATTGAAAGATCATAGAACATGACTACATAGGCTCCTAAAAAACATTATAGAAAAGGATACTGAAAGAAGCTATTCCCAATATGACTTAGAGTTACTTGAAAACAAAAAAGAGAGCTTTAGTCCTAAGAGTCGACCTTAATAATTCTGACTGATTACAACACAAGCCATTACAAAACCAAAGAAGGGATTGTATTTAACAAAGTAGAAAAACGTCAACTTTTAAAAGCGACACCCAGCATTGAATAGTACATTATATTAATTAACAATATAAAATTAACACCAAACCTTTCTAAAGGAATTTCCATGCTGAGCTTCAGGGCTCATGGGCTACTGCAACAGAAAACCATCTGCGGTGAACAAAAACGTCTTGTCACCACGACAAGGGGTGGCGCCACCAGAAATCTCGGGCAGCTGCCGTCAATGAAGGAAAGGGACGGCGGCACAAACTCCTTGGCCATAGGGTTCAGGCTTGAGTAACCTCATCTGTATAAGGGGAAAGTTCCTTCATCATTAGATAAACCACTCTTCTTAAACCAGTGTCATGAACATTATTAGGTCAAAGAAGATTTACCCTCGTACAAAAATCACAACATCGTAACTTGATAGGTAATTTATCATAATCTTACCCCAAGAAATGACCGAAACTCCCTCAGATACAATGGCATTTCATAATGTAGGAAACAACCTGTGAAGGATGAAAGACTCGCTTTAGAAAACAAAGAAATAAATATCTACAAATTGATGGCTTTATCGATTGGCTGCTATAGCAAGAGACAAATTTAAGTACCGTTGTCGTAGTTTCTTAAATGGTTGGCATCCGTTTGAGAAACTGGCCCTGGTACGCCCCCTCGAATTCCGTCACCGTTAGATGCCACCATTAAATTCAGAGAAATCTCTGAATCACCGCTTTTGCGGTTGAATCTCATTGTTGGGATTGCGAAATTGGGACCTGATAGCGGTTGAATCTCAGAATCTCACTGTGGGGGGCTCAAATTGGCCGAAAAATAGAAGCAACTTCAACCCGCGATTTGCTGCCATATGCGAGATCTTGACGCCATGCGTAGTACCGCACGCTGATCGCTGGAGCTGCTCGTTGCTCTCTGTCACTGGACGACACTTATGTCCGTGCGGGTTCTACTGAGCGGCGGAGACGATCTGGTTGCAGCTATCGTCATTAATGGAGGATGTGCTCGAGCCATAGCCGCTCGCCGGCACCCATCAGTCGGCTCCGCGGGCAGAGTGACGGACCACATAATGAGCTTTGGTGCGTCAAACGACAGCTTGAAGCGGAGCCGAGATATGACGATCTATGTTTGAGAGCTTGGGATTGAAATGAGAAAGGAGAAAGGGGAAAGGAGAACGATTGTCTGAAGAGGGTGAAAAGGAGTATAGAGAAAGGCTGGTGGCTATTTGACTATGAAACGTGAAAGACGGGAAACCTGTTGCGTGCAGAAGTTTCGGAAAAAATCTGACAAACAACGTGCAGAATTAAGGCAATTTGACAATTTGAAAGTGGCAAAATCGTAAATAAAACAGGACACATGTAAGCCATTGAGAGATATTTGATGTTATATAATGGTATCTCTTGCTTTTCGGACTTTTTTTTCATGAAAAATGAAAAAAAAAAAAA